TTAACTCCTAATGACTAATTTTTCTTAAAGTAACTCCCCAGCTGAATTCTTGATCTTTCGTCCCACACTGGAGTTGCCTGGGGAGTTACTAGGCTTCAGGATGGATATTGAAGTCCTGAGCTGCTTTGTATTTAAATTCAGACAAAGAAATATTCAACTACTCCTGAAGGGAGCAATGTTTATTTTCCAAAATTGTGTTCAAAATAATTTTCCTAAAATGCAGTACCTCCACTTGAGGTGGATGCTCTACAGACACTTAATTCTTGTGACTGTAGCCATGTACTGCATGAGTTGCAACAGGAGTCAGAGGGAAAGACTTAAGAGGTATCTCCAAGTGTGGAGCATTGAGTTTGGGGGAAAGAGAAGATCAAATGAGCACAAAAATAGTAAAATGTGGCCTTTCTCATCAGTGAGCATTTATTGTCTTTCAGAATGCATTGCTTCTGGTGAGAGTAAATGGCAATAAAGAGTAATTGAGTGCTGCAGATTGGTCCACTGAATAATTGAAAATAGTTTAAAATGACATATGTGGCTCAAAGATGCCTAATCAACCCATCTAATGCTTCAGAGGTTCCCTGGGGCTTTATACTGATCGATCGGGTGGGTTTTTCAATGTGGTCAGTGCTGCTGCTCATCATCTGTTTGTCTGGTAGAGGTTGCTCATCTTTTTGTAATGCTACTGCGTGTGGCTTTTGGGTTTTTTATTGCCCTTCTGTTCCCAAATATTTCATTTGAACAAATGAGTCAAGAAAAATGTTAATTGCCCTTTGCACTAACTCCCAGGTTAGTTGAAAAAGCAACTTGGTGTGTAGAGCTGGTGGAGTCTATGGATCTACAGAATAATTTCAACCTGATCTTTCTAGATATATTTGCATATATCTCAAAGCAGGGAATAGGTAACTCATGAATTGGTATTGGTGTGGGCTCCAGTACTGTTTTCATTTGTGTTAATGATTTGGAGGAATCATTAGGAAGTTGTTGTATCCTCCTGAACATCTAAAGACTAGAAATAAAGCTAGAAAAGAAACTGCGGCTGCTCTGACCTGTTCCTGACTTGTTGCTCAGGGGAAATTAGTTGCAATGAAAAATCTTGATTCTGAATAACATCAGAAAGATGGCGAGGAGATAGCTTGCAAAATCAGAGCAAGCTGGAAATGCAGCTCAGCGCTTGGGGAAATCCAGAAGCGGTTTTCCCTTTTAAAGACAGGCATTGAGCCATATTAAAAGCAAACAGTTCTTTAAATGGTTTTGGTAACCATTGCAGGAGGAATATTGCGTTCATTTTGAAGCATCTTAATTAAGGAGGCAGTGGGGAAATTTAGAGAAGCTGCAGTTGAGAATGGTAAAATTGGGGGGCAGAATAAAAGGCGGGGGGGGAGGCTAAGTTTAGCTAGGCAAACCAGTATCTGCTGCTTTTATGGTCTGCAAGTTTTTGAAAGATGCAAGTACAAGAGGAAGACGAGAAATGGAGGTTGTACAGGCTGATGTAATCACAAGTAATGGGTGGGCAAGGGGGGGTTAGCTGCCATCAGAATGACTCTTCCCCAGTAAATTCTGGTCAGAAACATCATGCCCAAGAGGAGAGGCAGAAATCATCTCACTCAGGACCAATAAATTCAGGCTGCCCAGAGATCAGGGACATACATCTTAATGAACATTTCTTCCTGAGCAGGATGAGCTAATTGCCTTCAGTGCCCTCTGGTTTCCCTGGCTTGGATTCATGTTTGTTGGATTTAAGTGCCATTACAAGAAATTGGAGTTAGATATGCAGATCAGAGGAAGAAATGGGCTGTGTCGCTTATTAGCTAAAGGATTGAAGTAATTAAATTTGCCAATTTAAAGACACGTTCCTTCCCTGTCCTTAGAAAACACTGACCCTGCAGATTTTTGATGATGCTGAACTGTTCATTTTAATTTTGCAAGTGATGTTCTCCTCTGGGGCTTTGATAAACTGCTCTTGAAAATGTGTATTTAGAGAAGGGAAAGGAAGGAAATGGCCTTTGTGAGGGGTAAGTTAAGTATCTTGCTTTCTCTATTCACCCTGTGTCTGCACAAATGGGACGTGGTATTATATTTTTCCTTAAAGAAAAGGGCGGGGGAGGGGAACCCCAAATACCAATTTTTTAACGAGGGGTAACAAATTTTCTAATCTCAGAATATACATCATTGTACCCTGGCAGGGAAAATAGAGGAAGAAAGATGAGATGTGTAAGTTGCTCTTTTTCTAGCATCTTGTAACTAGATTAGAGCTTTGTATAGTCCCCTATTTCCTCATAGAGGAAACTACTTTTTCGCTAGATTTTGGGGGTTAATAAGGAGAAATCACATCCAGGCTTTCATACAGTACATGCAATTAAAGTGAATAAAATTGGATGTGTTATTTAAATGTTAGGAGGGTAGTTGGAAGGTGCTTAATATTGTTGATCTCAAGGAAATGGGGAATTAATCACTGGAAATGATGGATGGATACAGAGGAGGCTTTTTGTATAAATCCCTTTAATTAGATTACATCGTTGAAGAGATTATGAAGTTGGTGTTGGGGACTGTCGTGGTTTAACCTCAGCCGGCAACTAAGTACCACACAGCCGCTCGCTCACTCCCCCCCAGTGGGATGGGGGAGAGAATCGGAAGGGTAAAAGTGAGAAAACTTGTGGGTTGAGATAAAGACAGTTTAACAGGCAAAGCAAAAACCGCGTGCACAAGCAAAGCAAAAGAAGGAATTCATTCACTACTTCCCATCGGCAGGCAGGTGTTCAGCCATCTCCAGGAAAGCAGGGCTCCATCATGTGTAACGGTTACTTGGGAAGACAAACGCCATCGCTCCGAACGTCTCCCCCCCCTCCCTCTTCTTCCCCCAGCTTTATATACTGAGCATGACGTCACATGGTATGGAATATCCCTTTGGCCAGTTTGGGTCAG